AATACTTTATAGTTGAAGGGGAAAGAAAAATCTTCCTCAACATTAGTAGGCTGAAAGAATTCATGTCCACAAAGCAGCCTTTCAGAGAATTCTTGAAGCAATACAAAGAGTTGAAGAAAGGGAACAAGGGTCAACAGAAAGAAACTCAATGAAGGTATATATATGGAAATACAGTGTTAGACCAAGAATGCAAACATCTTTCAATAATAACATTTACAAATCACATTTTAGTTATACATTCAAAGAAATGAATGTCTATCTAAAATCATGGGAATCACCAAAGCTAAACCAAGAAAAGATCAACAGTTTAAACAGACTCATAACATATAAGGAAATTAAACAATATTACAACATAGCTGGAGAGGTCTTAGATCTTAGAGATGTGAAACTCCACTATCATATCCCTAGTCAAATGTAATTTCTTATTATGTGCAAAATATGGATCCTTAAATTTACAGACGGGTATCCCAGTCACCACCCCTCAAAGAAACTTCTTTTTCAACAGACAGAGATTATTAAAGAGTCCCACAATGTCCACAACTGGTCACACACAGAGATTGTCTAAAAATTGCCCAAGCCTAAGTGGCACATCTACAATGCAACCTCTATATCTAAGGCTCATGGAACATAAAACAAAGGATGAAGAGAACACTAATGCATCTTTCAGTTCTCATCAATGAAGTTCCTTCATGTAACAGAGGGCCAGGAACACAAACAGCCAAAACATAGAGAATGAAAGTCTACAGAGTGTGGACCCTTGGAAAAGACTCCTATACCAAAATCCACCCACCCACAGGTTAGAGAGCATTACAAAAGAGGGGACAGCAAGACTGTGAGAGCCAGAAAGAGAGGCTCATGACCATATGTAAATATAGTCCTATAGGCTCCTGGAACCTTTCCCATAAGAACCTACAGCAATGGTGTCAGCATACACAAGACCCATGCAAACTCAAACAGACAAAAACCCAGTACAGAACTGTGGAAATGGACAGCAGGCCCCCAAATGATTGCTGATGGATGAGGAAAAGCTGATCCTCTTAAAGGGAGGGACTCTAGATAAGCTGACTAGACCTCAGTGAATGAATTTGCACTGAGGGACATCTGGGACACTAACTTCACATGATACACCTTAACACAAATGGCAGAAAGTATTAATTCTAGTGTGAAGGCTATATAGCAAGGGGTCAATGGGGAAGGGGTAAAAAGACAATTAAACTGTTATATATGAAATTCTCAAAAATTCAATAAATTTTTTGCCATAGGGGTTGAACAATTTTACAGTCCCACCAGAGTATATGGGCCCTAATGGGCGTGGGGGTGGGGGGGGCTATGGGAGGGTGTCATTTGGGATGTGGGTATAAAGATGAATAAGATTGTTTGAGATGTTCTGTATGAAATACACATACACACATAAATCAATAAATAAAAAAATGAATTATATTTGAGGAAGAAGCATAAAAATTTGCTCCATGTTATTGAGTAGGTATGAAAAACATAACCATTGAAATCTACCTGATGACTTTAGATACATGCTTAGGTTTCAAGGATCTCAGAAAGTCACCAACTATTATTAGTAATAATTAGATAGAGATTGAGACAGATGTGCAAACATCTGTGTTAGTTGCATTAAAAATGAGAGCTTTTTGTATGAGACAGTATATTTTATAAAGAAATGGAGATTTTTTTTAAAGGTTAAAACCTCATTCAATTTTATGCCATATAGGATTTATTCTGAGTACAATAATGTATAACTATATTAATACAACACTGTGAACAAAAATTTACAGTCAATTTTGAAAGAGATGCATCTTTGCTCTGGAAACTGTTATTGATTATGTCAATGCTGTTGTAATGAAATGCTTTTACTAATTGTGTGGTTATTAAATAAATTAATAAAAAATTTTGCCAAAAACCCCCAAAACGGGCTTGGAGAGATGGTGCAGCAGTTAAGAGCACTGACTGCTCTTGCAGAAGACCCAGGTTTGATTCCCAGCACCCACATGGAGGCTACAAACTGTCCTTAACTCCAGTTCCAGGGTAATCTGATGGCCTCTTCTGACTTCCACAGCATTGCACAACATGGGTGCGCTCACGTACATGCAGGCAATACATTCATACACATAAAATAAAAATAATAAATAAAATATTTTAAGCAGGGTGTGGT